GGGTAGTCATAGTGGATTTTTATAGAAGTGACCTCTCCAAGGACGACTACCCAAGCAGTTATGTTGAAGATTTTGAAATATATTTTCTGACATGAGACCCAAAATTTTACTCCGATTTTCAACCCTGGAACATGTTATGGAGCTAAAAGCTCGCAATTTATCAATTGGTTTATTATTCTAACTGCCAGTTCTGGATGCCTGGTATGTTTGGGCAATTTCCGAAAGAAAATACCCAGCCCTAACTTTAAGCCTGGCTTCATTCATCATTGTTTCCTGGGCACTACTACTATTGTCTTAAATGCCATTAAATAGTTTATTTATGTACTTAATTCATGGATTTATTGAAATAAAACAAATAAATAAACAGATTTAAAAACAAATACAAAAAGTGTTTTTTATTTATTTATTTATGGACGTCTGTAAAAAATCAGTTAGTGGGGGTTCTCGATATTAGGTGCTTTGTATTTAATTTTAAAACAGTAACGCCACCTATCAATCCTGGCTCCAAATAAAAATTAAAAAAGAAATGCACAAACAGTTTGTGCATTTTTCGGCAAATTTTGCAAAAATACCAGGCGCCCAGCATGAAATAGCAAGTAGCCCGCCAAAAAAAATCGAAAAATTTTGGTCTGGCAACACCCTACCCGCCAAAAAAATCGAGCGCCTAAAATTATGCTACATTTTTATTTTGTTTTTAGTATGGCGTTGCCAGATGCAAATTTTTCTGCATATTTTTTTGGCGGGCTACTTTCTATTTTTTTTCTTGTTCTGGGCGCCTGGTATTTTTGTGAAATTTGCCCAAAAATGCACAAAACCAGGCGATAGAAAAATTGTGACGTCATCAAATACGTCAAAGGGGCATGTATACTTACCGTCGTATTTGAATCCGTAAATAAAAACAAACAATATTTTTTTTATAAATTCATTTTTATTAAATATTCTTTAAATTAATTAAATTAAAATTAAAAATATATTTCATATATTTTAAACTTATATATAAAATACTAATTTTAATAAAAAAAATATTTTCTTAACAACTGAAACGCCTTATTTGTTGGTCTCTATTGTAAGGAATTTCATGATTGATAGAACAGGATAATTCCAAAAGACATCCATTCCAACTTCGTCATAGATCATTTTCGATTGTCATTATACGGAAATCCGAGCGTATACAATTCACAACAACCTGGAATGAAAACTCTATATTAATAAAAGACTAAAGTTATAGGCTGACTTAACGACTGAGATTCATCAACGAAAGGTCTGAAGCTAGAATTTTGAAAGTTCAGACCGAAGGTGTCCGATACGGCTGGGTTTTTTGAAATTCGTACAAAAACGGCACGAAAAGTACTAAATATGATACCATTTGTATTTGGCGAACCGGTAGAGCTAGAACTCTTAAATGAGGGTGGAGTGTAAGTTAGATTTGCCAAAGGATTCGAACTATAAGTAACCGAAAATTAGTAAAATGTACTAAATTTGGTACGATTTCGTGGTATGGAATTGGGAATGCAAATCATGAAATAGGCAAGTGGTTTGGATGTGTGTACTCAGGTATACGAAAAGTACTAAATTTGGTACAATTTGAAATCTGGAAAATATAGGATTGTGATAAACAGGTAATTTTGGAAAATTGTACTTATGTGTACAATAACAGTTCTAAATTGCACCACATTTTGTACAATTTGGGTGAATCACTGAAAGGAATTGGGGTATGTAGGCAATTGTGAAAACTCGTACCAAGTGGTACTAAATTTGGATTTGGAGGAACGGATGGAGCTGAAATTCGGTAATATGAAAAATATTGGATATGTTGGAAGTTTTGGAAATTTGTGCTTATGGGTACGAAAAGTCCTAGTTGGTACAATATATTTTTTTGGTTGAAATCTTGAAATTTGGTGTTTGGATAATTGTTGGGATATGTGGGAAGTTTTGGTAATTCGTACTAAATGGTACTAAATTTAGTCCAACTAGGATTTAGGTGACACGATAGAGCGGGAACACTGAAATTTGGAAATAAGTTATGTACTACTTCATTGTAGAATTGAGGTATGTAGGTAGTTTTGTCAATTCGTACAATTTGTATTTTGTAGGAATCGATACAACTGGAACCCTGAAATTTGAACCTGGGATTACTATTGGGGATTGGGGTATGTAGGAAATTCGTACTAAGTGATTCTAAATTTCGTACAATTCGGATTTCTTAAATCTTAAAAATATAGGATTGGGATATTTTGCTAGTATTGGTAATTTGTACTTATGGGTACGAAAAGTCCTAATTGGTACAATTTGAATTTTGGTTTGGTTGGTACGAAATTTGGTATTTTAGTTGAATCGATAGAGCTGGAATCCTGAAATTTGGAGTTAAGATTACTTTGTAGGGTTCGTACTAATGTGTAGAAAATGGTACTAAACTTGGTAAATATGAATTTTGGGTGAACCGATAGGACTGGAATCCTGAAATTAGGAAATAAAATTTCTGTTGTTGTGTAGGATTGAGGTATGTAGGAAGTTTTGGAAATGCATACTAATATGTACTAAATGGTACTAAATTTTGTATAATTTGGATTTGGGGTGAACCGATATGGCCGGTATTTTGAAATTGGGAAATACGACTTCTATGGGATTGTTGGGGTAGATAGTTAGGGAAATTTACATTTTATTGTGAACCAAAATTATAATAAATTTTCTAAAATTTTGAATTTGGGTAAACTTATAGAGCTCGATTAATGAAATTTGAAATTAGTTTCTGAAATAAATAGCTAAATTTTTGTTGCGTTGAATAATATCGGACGAACAAATTTTAAACTGTGGCGTAATAGAATTAGCTTTCGAGGTGTGATTGGTTTTTAATTTAAAATATTGTCTTCAGTCGTATATTTGTTCATGCTATGGTTTTTTACATGGGGTAATTTCAAGCGCAACATTTTGAAAACCTGCGTAGAAGTTTAAAAAAATCGGGCGTAGGTATTTAAAAATTAAGGATATCTATTGTCGAGGCGTGTTGAGGATCTGGAAGGAGCATTTTGAAAAGGTTCTGGTATCAAGTAGTGGCGGTGATGAATATACTCCAAAACCAATAAGAGATGGCGGTATAGAGTGTACACCACCAAGCCAAGATGAGGTCAGAATAGCAATCAATCTGCTGAAGAATAATAAAGAAGGAAGGGCCGATGGGTTACAAGCCGAACTATACAAGACTGGTGGTCAGATGCTGGTAAGGAGCATACTGGTAGAAGCATCTTTTTAGTACAATTTGGCTAGAGGAATGCATGTCCAATGATTGGAATCTCAGCATGTTGTGTTCCGTGCACAAAAAATTATATGAGATATGCAAGATAAGATATGTGCAAACTATAGAGGAATAAGTATCATTCCCATCGCATATAAAGTGCTATCCAGCGTGCTGTGTGAACGACTGAAGCCAGTGGTCAATGACATTATTGGTCCATTCCAATAATGTCATTGACCATCTGCTTCAGACCTGGCAAATCCACCATTGACCAGATTTTCACTCTGAGCCAAACCCTGGAAAAGACCCTCGAAAAACACCTCGACATATTTCACCTATTCTTCGACTATAAAGCCGCATTCGTCAGACCTATGCGTTAAAGCCATGTCTGCATTTGGCATTCCTGCAAAATTAATTCGGCTGGTGGACCTGGCAAATCCACCATTGACCAGATTTTCACTCTGAGCCAAATCCTGGAAAAGACCCTCGACATATTTCACCTATTCTTCGACTATAAAGCCGCATTCGTCGTATAGGCGAATTAATTTTGCAGGAATGCCAAATGCAGACATGGCTTTAACGCATAGGTCTGACGAATGCGGCTTTATAGTCGAAGAATAGGTGAAATATGTCGAGGTGTTTTTCGAGGGTCTTTTCCAGGATTTGGCTCAGAGTGAAAATCTGGTCAATGGTGGATTTGCCAGGTCAGCAGTTAAAGTCGGTAAGGTCCAATCGGAGCCCTTTAATACCGAACGAGAATTCAGACAAGGTGCCAGTTTGCCGTATGATCTTTTTAACAGAAATGACACTCTGTACACCAAACAATACATGTTACTCGCCTACGTCGATGACATCGACATAATGTGTCGAAAATTGCGACCTGTAACAGCCACCTTTGAACAAATTGAGAAGGAGTCTGCCAAAGATAGACTGGCAGTGAGACGAGAAGACCAAGCTGATGGTATCAATGCGCAAGACGTCCAGTAGACTCGGACCAATTGTGAAACTTGAGAACTACAGCTTCGAGGTAGTCAAAGATTTTATATACCTTGATACCGCCATAAATAGAACTAATGACATCAGTTTTGAAATTCGGAGAAGGAGAGTGTTGGCCAACAGATGCTACTATGGTCTAAGTAAGCAGTTTAGAAACAAGGTCATTCCCTGCCGGACCAAACTCACACTCTACAAGGCACTGAGTTTTTGAGAGAAAATTTCTCCAAAAGATGTATGGGCCTATCTATGTTGATGGTGAATATCACCGTCGAGTGAACCAATAGTTGTACGATCTATTCTCTGACATCGACATAGTCAGACGGATCGAACTGCGGCGACTGCGTTGGCTAGGCCATCTGTGAGTATGGGTGAAGATGAAAAAATAATGCTCCAAATTGCAGACACTCAGATTGCAAAACTGGGATAGATGAGAAGTAAAATCGGACGGAGAAGTAAAGTCTGAATTTTTAAAATAATTGAAATCAACAAGGGCAACACTCTAAACCAAAGTGTGCTGAAACGGAATTGCCTTTGAGCTATTTTCAGTATTTCAATTCAAAAACAAAATGTTATTTATATTTTCCATTTTCTTTGGCTGTTTCAATTTCTACACAAGCGTGGGAATTTTGCAAACCCGAAATACTTAATAAGTTATGCACTGCACCCACCAACCACACGGTCTGTGATCCATCAAAGGCTTTCGATGATGTAAGGCGTGTTTTTTCCAATCCAATCCAAAAATAATTGTAATATTCAAATTTTTTGGCAGAAAGTCAGTATGATTTCAAATGAATTTAAGGGTCACGTACCCATAACAAAGAAAATGAAGCGTATTTTTATGCACATTCACAATGATTATCGCAATCGGGTGGCCAGCGGTAAGGAAATTGGGGCCACTTCGGAAAAACATTTTCCCAAAGCATCACGTATGCGTGAATTAATATGGGATAATGAGCTAATGTATGTGGCCCATATACATACGGCACAAACGCGAATGGGCCACGACAAGTGTCGGGCAACGCAGCGTTTTCTCTTTGCCGGACAAAATTTGGTGAGTTTGATGCATATTAGATAAAAATTTTTAGATAAAAATTTATATACATACATACATTTGCATCTTAAATAATTTTTTAAAATTATAATTTAATTGAGAATTCTCTATATTTAGGGCTGGAAAGGTACGGTATGTTCCATACCAATTATTGAAATGTTAAATGAATCATTACATGAAATGTATATGGAAAAGGATGTTGTACCCGATCCTGTGGCCATGGCGGATCTTTATAATGCACAGTATGATATATCTTATGTTACAATATTCCTCTCATTCCATTCCATCCACATTTAGAGTTAAAAACGCCCATGTTGGCCACTTTACGGCAATGATGAACGATCGCACATCCCGCTTGGGCTGTGCCATTTCCATTGGTTTAAATTGTAAAGCACCAAAGTGGGTATTTTCAATTGAATTCTCTCTGACTTTGTTTTTGCCTAATTATTGTAATTTCAGTGTGGATAAAGTATATCCTTGGTGTTATTATTTGGCATGTAATTATGATGGCACCAATCTATTGGGCAGTTATATTTACAAAACAGATGCCGAGCAATCGGCTTCACAGTGCTCAGACTGGGGAGTGGGCAAGAGTTCTGTGTATGAACATTTGTGCGGAAATTCTGGTGAGATATTTGATCCAACAAAAATGCCTTGAAAAGAAGGATGTTATTGTTTTTTTTTTTAAGTACACTTTTGGCAACTAGATTTTTTATGGAAAATAAACTACTTTAGTAGAGTGGAGGAAAAGGGCGGTAACATAAATTGATGTTATTGTATAAAAGAAAACTTTTGGCACAACAAAATTATTTTGAGTGTTACTTACTGAGCCAGCTTGTGACTGAACAATTGTTCCATAAGCGCGTCGGTCTTGTGGGAATCTCAACCAATTTGAAAGGCCATGCTCCGAGATATTGTCTTCCACTTGATTTTTCCATCGAATTCGTGGCCTTCCCCTTCTGCGTGAACCACCTCATCTTCTTGCACAAGTTCCCATGCTTCAGATCCATACAACAGCACGGGTAATATAAGCAGCTTATGGAGCGTGAGATTGGTCTGGCTAGAGGTGGTCTTGTTCCAGACTTACTTATACCATATTAGCATCTGTAGGCCAACACAATTCTCCTCTGAATTTCAAAACTCAAAGGTGTCTTTTACCGCTCACAATGTTCGATCCATTATGTCGACGTCGATCTCGATTTGCTCACCCTCACGTTTTTCTTGTTCTTTCTACTTTTTTTCTGAAAATACTTTTCTCCCGATAATTCTCCTTCGCACTACGTGTTGCTATGCAGGGTTGACCTATAAGCTGCGTTTTCAACTCAGTAGCATTACGACACTCCTGATCGTGTCATGATGGTGGTCTTTGGTAACAATTTTTTTCTCTTGCTGCAGTTTATTGGAAATGGGTAATTCTTTGCGATTATGCTTCTATATTATTATGGGGATAATAAGTGCTTTCGACTAGCAAGTGGGCAAGTTGAGCCCAGTAGACTTCTGCTACTTGTTGTGTTTGCAGCTTTTCGACGTCGAGTTTCTGTGTTACATTACATAGCACCATTGCTGCTACATGAGGACGAGCCTTGACTGCTACAAGGTAATGGTCCGAATCTATATTCGCTCCTCACAACTTGATCGATTTGATTTCTCGTTGTTTGATCGGGAGAAATCCAGTTGGCCTTGTTTATATTGAAATGCTTGGTTTTCTTTTTCCTTGCTTTTCCACAGTGGGAGGGGTCTTCCGAGTATGGGCAAGTATCTATTATCACCTACGTCATATTTTTAATATTATCTATGTCAACAATTTACTTAAATGGATTTATGGGAATTGAACATTTTCCATTATTGGTTCAAGTTCAAGATAATGTTTTTGAAAATATTTAAATCAATAACATGTGATGATAATGTGAGAAAAAACCGAAAAAATCCGCACGGAATTTTTTTCTTGCGATAGTCCAAGATTATCTTGATTTTACGGTCACTTTGGACGGCGGGCCATATATCTTAATCGCGAGTAACAAACTAATTAAACACCCCCGATTAGATGAAAATGTTTGATACGATGTCTGGCAGCTATATATAACTTATTTAACAAATAATAGAACAGGCGACATGAGACTATTTTTATCGGGGCACTTGAAACCAAAACAAAACTATTGCCAGATTTGCTTTCTTTAAAGATATTTGGGACTGGAGGCACAGCAGAGTAGACAATTGTGTTTTCTACGACTGCGATCATTTCGCATAAGATATTGCACAGATTTGTGAGGATCTGAAAGGGGGAAAAGAAAGTTTTGTTTATTATTTCATGGAAAGTTGTAAAATAAAAAAAATGCATTTACCTGCAAAATCTCCATTGTTTTGGATTTCTGTATCCGGTAAGTATTTCTTTAGTTCGGTTATCAATAGTTTAATATCTTCTAATGCTTTTACGATACTGCATAATTCTTCTTGATTGAAATCCGGTGCTATTTGCTTGCATAACAGTAACTGACCCAATACATTGCCAAAATTTGTTGGCCTTGAACGATTTTCTTTAAGAAATTCCAATTAACATGAAAATATTTTCTTTAAATATTATATAAACTCACCATAAAGTTTACTCATATCCATGGGTATTATTTGAATAAGACGATAGCACTTTAGCAGTTCATTGGTAAATAATTGCAACAATTGGTAGAGCAATGTTGCATGTGAAGTATCCATTGGTTCCATAGAGCTAAACAAAATATATATAAACATATAAATACAATGGTCGTTTAATTCGGCCAGGTCGATTTCATTTTTTTTTTTTTGAGGAAAACACAACAAATTTCAGACACCAAGGTAAAAAAATCAGTTATAACCTTAAACATAACGAAAATGGGGCTGGACCTTTATATGGGACTATTTTTGCGAGCATATTTTGTACCCACCATGAACCTGGAATGTCACTTTTGTCGGAAAATGGATATAGGACCATTAAAATACTTAACAAGGTATCACATTGGACAAATGGGGAAAAGTAAGCGACTGAATATCAGCAGTCTTGAGAATTGACGATGTATCCCCAGTTGAGACGAGTGGAACCGTAGTAACCCTCCTCTGGACGTTCTGGTTTTTTATAGACAGATCCAACATGGAAGAAGGTTCCGTGACTGGCGTTTACTGTGAAAGGCTAGGCTTACATACAAGTTGGATAGCAACTGGAGTGTTTTTCAAGCTGAAAACTTCGCGATTTGGAAGGTAGCTGAATTGATAAAACGTCTGGATGTAGAGATCGTTGACTACCTTTGTGGATAGTCAGACGGCTCTTAAAGCCATAAAATCCTGTATAATCAAGTCTGAGGTCATCCTCGAATGTGAAGCTATTTTGGAAGCACTGACTAACAGCTATCGGCTGTGCTGGGTACCAGGACTCTATGACATCATCGGTAATGAAAAAGCAGACGAACTAGTTAGACGAGGATCTCAATCTACAGATCTAGCCATCGATGACTCAATCTATCACCTTTTCCGGAATTTTGAGATGTTTTTTGGCGAACGAGCCAATGAACTTTGACACAACGAACCTAGGTGCAATGTGACAAGATCTATGTGGCCAACTCTGTCAGCCAAAAGTCGGTAAGTTTTTAAGTAGACAAGACGATATGTGCCAACGACTGAAGCCAATGGTCAATGACATTATTGGACAATACCGAACTAGGATTCAGACAAGGTGACAGTTTGCCATGTGACCTGTTCAACATCCTGCTGGAACAGAGATATGTTACAAACAGCATATGTTACTCGCCTACGCCGACGACATCGACATAATGGGTCGAATATTGCGAGCAGTAACAGCCACCTTTGAACGAATTGAGAAGGAGTCTGCCAAAGTGAGACTGACTGTAAATGGTGAAAAGACCAAGCTGATGGTATCAACGCGCAAGACGTCCTGTAGACACAGACCAACTGTGGAACTTGAAAACTACAGCTTCGAGGTTGAGAATAGTGTTGGCCAACAGATGCTACTATGGTCTGAGTAAACAACTACAAGGCCACCTCTCACCAGACCAAACTCACACTCTACAAGACTCTGATATTATCCGTGCTGTTGTATGGATCAAAAGCATGGGTACTTGGGCAAGAAGATGAGGCAGCTCTTGGAGTATTTGAGAGAAAAATTCTCCGGAAGATCTATGGATCGATCTGCGTTGATGGTGAATATCGCAGTCGAACGAACCATGAGCTATACCATCTATTCTCGGACATCCACATAGTTAGACGAATCGAGCTGCAGCGACTACGTTGGTTAGGCCATTTTGTGAAAATGAATGAATATGACCTAGCTCAAAAGGCATATGAAATCGAACAAATTTATGGTTCACGCAGAAGGTGAAGGCCACGAATGCGAAGGAAAGATCAAGAAGAAGACAACATCTCGGAAAATGGTATTTTAAATTGAATGAGATGCGCACAAGACCGCCTTCGTGGAAAATCGGCCTAGGACGTTACAACCTCTTCTCCGGAAAAAAATGCTGCTGAAACCTTCAAAATACCACAAATCCGAACCAAAAACAAAAAGTGTATGTCCCATTTTCAATACTTGGGAGTAATAGCAGTGTATTGCGATTTCTATCATGATTTCAACAGACAGACATATCGAAATTGATATAGAATATTATTCTGATCGATAATATATATAGACCATATGTGGTCTCCGTCGAAATAATACAAAAATTCAATAAACCCTCTACATTATGGTGGAGGATATTCTAAATTTACCGCCATGAACATTACTTTTCCAAATTAAGGTTGTGCTTCATTTTTGGGTCATAACAAATTAAAATTAGTTTTTATTAACTTCTTGACCTCCTGAATATACAAACCTTTTCAACAAATCCACTATCACTTCATTGGCGTGCTTAGATTCTTCCAAACAGATATGCCGATATTTTCTTATCCGTTCACGCAATTCAGGATTATCTCTAGATTGGTGGCCAACGTGAATCAGCATATCACGAAATAAAGCCAAATGCAAATTTAAATCCAATATCAACTAAAAAAATACACAAACAAACACACACACATACATATTTTTATTTATTATTGTTTTTTTTTTTAATCTAAATTTAAACTTTTTGCCAATCATCTTCAACAACCTTTTGTGGATTTTTTGTTGGTAAAAATATATTTGGCACATATATGGAAAGACGATGTGCTATAACAGTCGAATTGCGATAACTTTCACAATGATAACCGTTAACATTGGCCATTGCGTTATTATTTTTTGTTTTGTGTTGTTGTTTAGAAGTGGACAGAAAGCCAAATACTAAAACCAGCCATTTAGGGATATCCTCTATTTAAAGGACACCACAAATTCTAGTGAATGGACATATGCATCCTTTTGTATACGGAATATAAAACAAACATTTATTGTCTGTTATCCGTCATTCATAAAAAAATTGTGTGTATCTACATACATACATACATACATATTTATTGATGTAGTTATGTAGACGCATTTCCAGTAATAACTGGTCCCTACCTAGGGTTTTGTTGCATTGAGAAGGTATGAAAGGTAAACAATCTGCGAAATGAGTTTTTTGTTGAGGGGCGTTGAGGGGACAAAAATGTCCATTAAAAACCAGAATTATGAAAAAGAAAAAGGGGTTTATATTTCATTTTTAACATCCACTGTACGGGGGGAAAGACTACCTTTTAATTGAGGAAATTTATGAAAATCTGGTAAACATTTTAGATTATGTCTCATAAATTGGCATATACATAATAACTTTTTACCGGGTTAACCCACTTAATGAGGATTTATTTGACATTTATTCAAAAGAATTGTCAATTGAAACCCACTGGGTTCACGAAATTCGGTTAAATATAAACGTACTATAACACAATTAAAATATCGACATAATTACAAACGTTTCCACGACAGAGGGCTCTACGATCCGAAACGACCCGAGTCTTACTCGGCCAACGTATGTCACCTCAGCCCATTGTGTAAAAGCAATAGGGCTGTTACAACAAAAACATAATAACAAAACGACGTGGATCGTTTTTTCCAATGAAGATCATATAGTACGAGAAGATATACCGGATATCACATAAAAATAGTATTTTTGCCTCTTATATCAAGTGGTTCGCCAGTTTAATAGTTTTTAGGCAACATTTGGGTAAATACCCGATATCGGGGTACCTTTACATGGGGTGTGCAAGATAATATATGGCAGCGAGAGCGTTTGTCATTGGCGGGCATGATAACTCAAAAACTATTATTCCTATCGGTTCCGCGTTATTCTGGAGCACGTTATTCCGGACATATATAGTAATGAAATAAACCCAATCGGTGAGAATCTTTCTATTTTCCACCTTGGTTTATGGTCGAAAATAGTTTGGTTTAAAAAAAATAGTTTTCCTAGGTCCGCATTTTCGATAAAATATTAATGTAGAAGGAAGCGGCAATCATTTTATTACCTTCACTATGGGATAGACATTCAAAATACGCCAAAGCTATTTTGAATGGAAGTTTCTATACTTAATTGAAATCAAATAATAAAACAATTTGAAAACTTGAAAAACTTCCACAAAACTCAGAATAGTCTATTACAATTATATGGGACCTACCAAAAAATTTCGGTCAATGAGAATACAAATAATCCATCAAAAATTGGTTAAAAAACGTACCCATAATTTCCAAAAACTGGATTCGCCATAATACAGAAATTTTGGGAGCGCCGTTATATTTATATACCATTCTCAAACCCTTTTTTTATTAACAAACAAACAAAGGACGAACACAATTATTTGTATTGCATTTAATATTAAAAATAAAATGAACAATAAAAGGAAAATTTATTTGGTATGTTCCCCGGGAAAATTTAAGCATCCTGCATCAATACATTGCCCTCTTTCTGGAACTTGCCTAAAAATATAAAGAATTAGTTCTAATTTAATGAAACTTTACATTACTTACGAATTTTCTTCCTTTTTCTGTAATTTTTATACAACTTAATATCAAATTTAACATTGCAAAAAAATGTTTTGAATAATTTTTGTGTTTGGTCATAAAACAGCTGATCCAAAAATGGCTGAGTTTGCAAAATCTTACTGAATAAAATTCTTTCAGTAAACTCCAGTAAGTTTGTTGTTGTTGAACTGTCAAACTTGCTCTCTAACTAGACTCTCTTTTACTGGATTTTTGGGTAAACAGACAACATTTAGTAATATTTGGTAACAATTGTTACCAAATATCGAGTAAACAGACAGAGCTGTTGTATGTTTACTTTTCTCAGTATTATCGCAAAAGAGAGTAAAAACGGCTTACTCTCTGAACTAGAACTTACTGAATGTTACCAGACAGACCTAATATTGGTTCCAAATAAGAACAAAATCATACATACCTTATTTTTTTCTGGTCTCCAATAAGAATAGCAGTAATTGTAAATTAAACGACACAAAAACAATATCCTATTAGATAATATTTCATCCGGACACCTTATCTTTGACACATGCTGTGTGAAATTGGCGCGCAACACAAAAAAAATATTCGGGCAATAGTATTCCACATAGATTTTACGTAAATTCATTTGTTTTATATGTAACTAATTTCTTTCATTTTTGAAAAACACGTCTGTCTGTCAACCATAATTCCTACAACGAACACACACGAACTCACAAACAAGTGAACATCAGTTTGCAATGCATACGAAATAACACATATTTACACAAATTAACTATTTTCTGGAACACAATTAAAATTATACCGCCTTGAAATACAAATTCTCCATTTTTTTCTAATTTGTTTTTGCAGTTTTTTAACAAATATTTGCAAATATTTAAATATTTACAACAAGCGAACACAATTGCCAAACAGGCGGTCCGTTTGAAAACTGACAAAACTTTGACAATTGAAGGTTGGAGAATAGTAGTGTTGCCAGCACAAAAATTCAATGGCAAAAATGTGTACAGTACCATTTTGTGTAGAAAATCCACAATATATATGGTCTGTTCCAGTACTTTTTTAGTAGTAAATCTAGTAAAAGGGAAACATTTCAAAATTGCTCTCAGAGTGCAAAATAATTTGAAAAGTTCGGGAACGCAAATCTAGTAAATATGCCAAAATTAGATGGCAATACTTCAAAATCAACATAACAGCCAATCAGAAGTAGGCATTCCTGTTTACCATTTTTACTCGACCAAATTTCTCGAGTAAAAAGTTTACAAAGAGAACGCCATTTTGTTTTGTGCTCTCTTAAATTTGAGTCAATGTTTTACCAGTTTTGTGGGTTAAGGAACGGTTTTCGAGTAAAAAGATGCAAAACATGTAAAATGAGTAGATTCTTTTAGGTTCTGGAACGGAACTATAAATTGTTTATATCCAAATTGTTCCCTCAAAATTATTTTTGAAATCGTGTGATTTCATTATTTTTCGTATGCAATACAAATAAAACAGCTATTGTGTTTGGCAAATGAAAATTCATTTCTGAAAAACTGACAATACATATGACATTCATGGCTCGTGTATCAAGACTAATAATTGCATTCTATATAATAGCACAGAAAATAGTTCTAGCAAACTTTAATTCCCGACAATTTAACCAAGGACTGAAAATAACAGTTATTCTTGAAAATGCAAACAAAAAACTCTTCATGTTAGAGACATGGGACACCTATAGTGTCATATAGACAACAATAGATTCGTATTGACGAGCCCATTAAGGATATTGGGTGAAGTTGAGAAAACACTCTCAATTCCCATGTGAAGACTTATAATTCAATGGAAAAAATAAACGTTGATATTTAACTGTTAAAATTGATTGATATTTTTCGTTAAAAATAAAACTCATTTGAGGAGTTTTATCTATTCCCTCAAAAATGAAACTCTTTTTAGGGATTTTTATTTTTTCCGTCAAAAATTTAACTAATAGAGCGATTGCTATTTTTTCCGTCAAAAACAAAATTCATTACAGGAGTTTTATTTTTTTCCGTAAAAAAAACAATCCCCAAAAGAGTTTTATTTTTGACGGATATATAAACTCCACAAATGAGTTTTATTTTTTAACGGAAAAAATAACAATAATTTTTACAGTTATTTTTATGTTTAAAATCGTTTATTTTTATGTTTAAAAATTGAGTTTTTTATTTGGGCCACAAAATAACTGTTAATATATAACTAATTTTAAATTTCTTATAACCGTTACGGTCCCTTTATTTAGCAATGTAAATGAAATATATTTATGCTTGGATCGTTAGAAATTTAATAAATTAAACGATTTAGTTTCAGATCAATGGATTGCTACATCAATATTTTGCTAATCTTTTGCAGTGAATAGGACACGATTACCTTACAGTATTTAGTTCCCTCGCTCTTTTCAGTGAATCGTTCAGTTGAACCGAGTTCAATTGTCTCTCTGTCATGTCTCCCTTTCTCAACAATTGACTCTCTTAAGGAATATCCTTTACATCTTATTCGTAAACATTTCTATGAACGCTTTGAGTTCCTTTTTTATCACGCATTCAAGCTTTCTCCCAATTTGTAATTTGTAGCAGGTGGAACGTTTTTAATTTTAGTCGACACGATTTTACAAAAAAGAAAAGAATACATATTAAAATATTAAATATTTAAACAAAAATAAGCGATTTAGACTTAAACATATATATTAGATAATAATAAAAAGTAAATAAATGTGAATATAGTGTACAAGCTACAGAGTCAATTAAAACTTCTCGAATAAAATTGTGATTTTGTATTAGTATTTAAGACGACACCGCAAAAAATAAGTTTCCTATTTTAAGGATTTTCTTTTTGGAAGTAGACAGCCAGCCATCGCAAGCAATAGTCGCCGCACATAGGCACACACACATACCAATAGCAAATAAACAACCAAAGACTTTTTTTGGGGGTGAAGCGAAGTGTAAATTGGGGAAAGTGCCACCACAAAAAAAACTCATAAATAAGACACAACAATAAGGATAATTGCCCAAATATTAAGAAACTATTTGGCAACGATAATAACATTTACCATTTACATTGACATCAATTAAAAAAGGCCAAAGGTGAGGGCGTTGGAAAATAAGGAGACACAACACAATTAGATTTTTGTGTGAATGGCCAGCTCTGTACGTTAGAGGTCGCTAGGGGTGGTACATGTGAAAAAAAAACATAAACAAAGCAAAGACTACGTGGTAGCAGAAAGAAGCAACGTACACTCGCCAAGCAGGCATTGAACAATTGGAATTTCGATAAACGGCAAGGAGTCCTTGGGTATTTATGAACGGCAGCGCAACTACCCAATTCATTAGCAGTATATTTGATTAAATAAATAATCAATCCATCATGAGAATACATTTTCGTGAACAATATGGCACCAAGGGTGAAGAGATAATTTATGTTACACCTGCAGGTGAGTTGGGTTATTATTTATTTTGTAAAAATTAAGAATCTTAAAAATAAATTAATGCTTTATTTTCTTTTGCAGATCAAAAAACCATTGTCCGTGTCCCTTTGAAAAGCGATAAATTGGTTATACATGAGAAATTTTTTCTCTTTCGGGTATTTCAACAAATTTTCCTGCCCAAAGGCTATCCGGACAGTGTTAGTGACGACTATGCTGCATATCAAATATGGGATACTGTTCAGGCTTTTTGTAGTACTATATGTGGTAAGTAAAGGAGGGGAATATGAAAAATTTGTTGATACCAATGATGTCAGTGAAAATTGAAACTTGATATCTTCGCCAAGTAAATTGGGTGAAAGTTGGGTTATTTTGTAAACCATTTTAATATTTAATACTATTGTAATTAGAGGAAATACTATTGTAATTAGGGAAAGGGGAAGTTGTCGAAAATGCTTATACAAAGTCCATTGTTAAAAAAATCTACTCTTATTTTAGGACCCTAAAAATATTTTAAAAATATCTACGCTTATATAAGCTCGGATGGCGTCTTCGGCCCTAAAGTCATTGAATCAAAAGTGAACCTAAATATTACAGCTTTACCGTTTGCAACGGACTGCTTTCCAGGATTAATACATGATTGTGAAATTTCAGAACTTGACCAGATCCTAAGGACCCTGAAAGGATCTACCCCTTCCTTAGATAAGATATCTTATCCAATCATACATTCTGGTGTCTACCCACATGACTGGAAGATGGCAGCTTTATCACCCATTCCCAAACATGGCAAAAATCCATCTAACCCTCAGGGTTATAGACCCATCTCTTGCCAGTTATTCGAAAAAAAAAAAATTGGAAAAAATATTAGTAAGGAGGCTCCTTCGAAATACTGGATACAAACTTTCTGGATTCAGCATGCTTTCCTAGTCAGGCACGGCGTACATAGCCTTTATCACCAACTAGAAGAAGATAGGGTAGTTTTCACGCAAGTAATTTTAGAACTCTATAGCTGGGGCGTCAATCGCATTTTTCTTACCCTACTTCATTCTTTTCTCTCTACTGGAAAGGATTGATGGTTATCATTCCCAGGTGTTTCCTTTACACAATGAAATCCCTCAGGTTCCCATCTCTCAGTTATGTTATACAATATTTACGCTAACGCCTTAGCCAGGGCTGTAGAGAGCCATACGGGAATGGATTTTGTAGGCGTATATGCAGACAACATTTTTTTCCGTAATAAAACTATCCAGGATTGGGTCAGATATGTTTGTAGACAAAAAATTGTCCAAGTGATCGTATTCGCCTATGTGAGCAGATTATTCCTATAGTCAACCATATGAAGATTTTGAGTATGACCTTCACAAAAAGCCTCCTATGGAATGCGCACATTGGACATATTATATCAAAATTGGATAAAATAAGCAATTTGCTCAGACTTATATGTTCTACAAAGAAAGGTCCCCACATAGACGCTGCAATCAACATCTGCAAATCCCTTGTAAATGGAGTACTATCACACGGCATAACATTTTATGGCTAGACTTCTATAGGTAATAGGAAGAAATTAGAGGTTGCCATTAACAAATGTTTTCGTACTGCCACTTGCCTCCATAGATCAACACCTATATTTTTTGAAATTTAGATCAATATATTTTGAAATTTGAAACAATAGTTTAAAACAGAACTAGTTTATTACAAAACTATAGTTCTAAATTTCAAAATAATAGCTTTATTACATCTGAATTCATTAAAAAAACCTTCTCCTATAAAATTTCAAATTTGAGGGTTACGTTTCTTTGGCGAATATGGCTCGACATTATGAAAAAAAATGCGCTTTCCTTAGGGCTCTGAATTGTTTTAAATGTCTACGTTATGTTAAGATTTAAAAAATATTTTTAGAAATAAATAAAAAAATTAAACATGATCATTAACTGTGGAAATTAGAAAACCATCGCCTATATTCAAACACCTCAAAATAATCAATTAATGTATATATTTTTCCATCTTGCAGGCACACTCTGTACACATGCCATATTAAAAGGTTTGGGCGTGGGTAATGAAAATATTAATGCCTACTCGGCTACAGTGGCATGGATACTGAAAGAAGGCAGCGGGCATTTGGGACGCATTATATTCTCATGGTGGAAAGGTGCTCAATTGGATATTGATAGTAAAAAATGGCGTTTACGTGCCGATTTTCTCAACGATATGGCAATGGGCATTGAAATATATGTGCTTCCAAAATATCCACATTTAAGTACACAAATTTTGTGTGGTACCACCGTACTGAAATCTATTGTTGGCGTGGCGGGTAGGTGTTTTTACTTGTCACTACCATTATGTTGAATTTATTTAATGGCATACTGTCACTTTTAGGTGGAGCAACAAGAGCTGCATTGACGCAACATCATGCTGTGCGTGGTAATTTGGCTGATGTCAACTCAAAGGATAGCTCCCAAGAGACTTGTGTTAATTTAGTTGCCTCATTTGTGGGTCTATATTTATTAACTATTATTAAGACACCAGGGTATGTTGGCAAATATTTTTTGTTTGTTTTATGAAATTATTCTAACAAATTCTTTCAGTGTTCTATACGGAGTTTTTGCAGTTGTTATTTTATTACATTTGTATGCCAATCTAAAAGCCGTTAGAGCCATATGCCTACGGACCTTCAATGAGTCGCGTTATTTAATAACATTGGAAGAATTCTTTAGATCTGGCAGAATGTTAACACCACAGCAGGTTGGTAAAGAGAATGTTTTATTTTTATAATATTTGTGTTTTGAATTTGTTTGTCCCTCTTTTTTTTTAAGGTCAACAAATTGGAGCGTGTTACTGTTGGCCAAACAGTATCGGTTTCATTAAATATTCGCCTAGGCCTTAGCATTAAACATTTGGTAGATGAATATCAACATAGTCATATTGTGGATAATATTGTCTCCTCATTTGATCCCCATGAACATTTTATCATTGCGGAAAGTAAAAAATTCCTTGGTGTTTATTTACATTTCAATACAACGGCTCAAGATGTCCTGAAGGCATATTTCTTTGCAGTCTCCTATCTGCAAGATCGTAATCAAATTAAAGAGAAATACTGGGATATACAAACGAAATGGCAAGAATTTCATAATATGGCCCAACAGGAAGGTAAGTTATAATTTTTTAATATAGCAAATATTATTTTGTTAATTATAACAAGGGTGTAAGATATTTCAACAACGATGTCCTTAATCACAATGTATGATACGTATGTAATCTATATGTATGTATTTTGCAATGAAACATACTGGAGGATACATGTATGTATATTCATTTATGTAGTACAAAGACTCAGAACATAATATTAAAATAATATGTGAGTAAAAGCACATATATACTATAGATGTAATATAAGTAAAAAGAACTTTAATAGACATAGATAGCGGTGAGAATAATATAGGAAATAATATATCATAATAGATCCTGTATCCATAATACAACCTGTAGTAGTTTTATTATACCAATATTACTAAAATATATTTATATATATATAACATATATTTTCCCCTCTTTTTTAGGTTGGAATACAACGCAACATTTGTTAAGTGTAGATGAGTATCGCCTCAATTGGAAAGCTTAAAAATAAGTTCAAATTACATGAAGAACTGAATGATATTTTGCTATTTTATAACAAGGTAAAAGTTGTTAGTTAATTATTTTGTTATATTTATTTTATTTTTGTTAACCACAATTGATATTTTATTTTCAAATACCTTTTACTGCCATTTTTTCTAAAGAATGAACTGAACATTTTAGATAGATAGAATATTGGCTATCATAACATTTAAGGGGTAAATGGAAGGCACTCCTTCAGATAGCTACCTCAACATTTTGGAAAAAATTTAAATATCTTACAGCGATTAGTATCTGATTTCTTAAAGATTGCAAGAAAATATAAATGTTTGATAGTTTTTCCAAGAATTGGAATAAATCTCGAAAGTAACACCCAAGGACTATTAAGAAGGTCATCCAGGGAGACCGGCTGGATATCAGCTGCCTCTCAAATTTACTGTTCATTATGAAAACGTAAACGTAAGTCCAACAGTTCGTCTTAGGAAGGCTCACAAGAAGGCTTAAAAATAAAACTTTACAAAATGCGATTTGTTAAGCCTTCGTAACACGTGTTTCAATTATCAGATTGGACGAAATTCATCGTATATGAAATAATCTATCAAGTCTTAGTCGAAATAACCTATTAACCTTCTATACTATATAGGAAGAAGACTATTTTAGCTGGATGAATAAAGCGGAAAAAAGTCCAAATTTTTGACATTAGACGTCAGAAAAAAAAGCTAACTTTCGGTAGATGGATGACCTTATTAATAGATCATGGTAACACCCATGGCATAATAAATAGGTAGTTCCATGATGCAATAATACGGTGATGTATCAAAACAAAAGCCATTGTTTTTGTCTCGATTATCTGTCAAATTTTTCCTTATAATATTTCACATGGTTGGCAACATTGCACATCGAATCAAACAAACGCCCTTCACGTCTTTCCGAATGCTACGAAATTTTACGTGTTATTCAAGTCTTTTTGGTAGTAATTGGATATTAAAATTTCGTCTACAATCTAGGGATAATATAGGAATTATAAAAATACAGAATCTCAGAATTGATATTCCGAATAATAACAAATGTTAGTTCATAATTTCTCGAAAAAGTTAAATTTTATAACATTCCACATGATTTTTTTAATAATCTCTTGACTAAATTATTACCCAATTTTTTAGTTATTTGCACAATTGTTTATCTTTTTTGTTTAGTTTATTAGCTCAAATCTAAACACAATAAAACATATCTATCTTAATTAGCCGCCAATTAGTTAAACATATACTTTAGAAGGAATTCTTATGCTTTTGTTATATTTTGTTGGTTATTCTAATTAGTTTTATTTACAATTAATTAGATTAGTTCTCTATATATTTATAAGCAACAAATTTCTGCCTTAAATTATAATTATTATTGTATATTTACTATTAAGAGCGTGTCATTTTTGAAAGCAATTTTTCGAAATAATTTCGTCTAGAATCTAATTAGCCCAACAACAAAAATAAAATATAAAACAACTTAAGCAATATATAACAAAACTGTATATTTAGAAATAAAAAACTAGTAAATAGTTTGTAGATTTTGGAGAATCATAAATATTAATATATTTTAGCTGATCTCCAAAAAATATATAACTAATGCAAATAAAATAAAAAAATCAATGAATCTCAAAATGATTACAAACAACTTTTGGAGTAGACTTTTGAATTAACCAAAAACTTTATACATTATATTATACACTTTTAAAGATTCCCTATTTTAATATATCCCGAATTTACACAACTTACACAAATACTTTAACATAAAATAAACAAATTTTTGAAATAAAAAAATAAATTGTAGTAATGAAACATTAGTTTTAGTTACGCAACTAAACAAACTACAAACAAACCTTTTGTGGATTATAACAAAACATATTCATAGGCGACAATTGCTGCAATCACAAAAAAGACAATAATTGTTTTTATATTGCATTCTTTGTCATTACTTTTTTGCATTTCATATCAAATTTAAAGTACCTGTCGTCCACACCTTCTATATTTCATTTGATTACAAAACGATTATATAAAAATTCAAATTGATTATTTCAATTATTGTTACTTTTTTTTAGCAAATTGTCGCCAAATATGCTTGTACTATGTTAGCATTTCACAGAAAAACTGTAAAACAAACAAAATAATTATATTCCATTCATTTTCAAAAGCAACGAATCTTAAATTAATTTTATCTTTGACATTAACATCAAATCGTATATCACAAATGAGCTTATTAGATTAACATTTTATGTCTGTGAATTTTTTTTAAATAAAACAAAACATTGCAATAATTACAATTTTAACTATGGTTCAAATATAAATAAAAAATAACAAAAAACATAAACACCTAATGTGCTTCCAGAAATTAGTCAAACATTTTTTATTAACTTTTTTTGCTTTGTATTTTAAATGTCCTAGTGTAGAATGTGAGTATATTTTCCCTGGGGGATCTCCAATTAAGATAACACGTACTAGGTTCGTTCGTTTAATCAATAATTTGCAAAAATTATTACAAAATGTTTTTCGTTTACCCAAAAGTCCAGTAAAAGAGAGTGAATTGAGAGAGCAGATTTGACAGTTGTGTTACTGAGTATTTGCAAATTCTTACAAGGAACAATTTACTCAGTAAGAATTTTCTTGTACCGTCAGCTGATATTTAATCAGCTGTTTTGTTATGTTTTGTAAACAAACAACAAAATTGTATTGTTTTGATAATTTAATATTGATTTTGTATCATTAAACTTTAAAATGGGTGAAGAAAACGCAAGTATTTATAGTCAACATAAGTTTTCCGCTTATTTTCCATTTTTCTAATAAAAATGCTGTTTTTTGAATGCGCCAAATTGTTTGTTGTTTTAATCAGCTGTATCGATACAACCTTTTTACTAAATGTCGTTCGTTTACTTTTTGCAATTTTCTCTCTTGAAACCAAAAATTCGTATTTTACTCTTTGCAAATACTTACTGAGTAAAAGTTTCATTTCATTTCATTTCATTTCATTTATTTCATACAATGTAATATAAAAAAGCCAGCATGGCCAATAACTTATATTAACTTATATATAAAAAAAATAAAAACCCAAACAAAGAATAAACTAAATAAATTAAAAATACATAACAGCAAAAAACAAAATTCTACATAATGAAATTTAATGCAAACCGCTAACATAACAGATTCCAAACAAGAACCCCAATCCACTGCACTCTACTTAACTGTTGCTAAGAAAAGTGGAGGGGAAAGGAAGCTTAAGGAACCATACATATAAATATACTATATATTCCTCTCGAGCCCAAGAGCAATATCAGAACCACAGACATTAAATTCCATATGTATAAATCTATAACATAAATGCTAACGAACTTAAATAAAAATGGCTCCCCAGCCAAAAATTAAAAAAAAAGACAAAGTACCATTATGCAACCTGTAATCAGCGATTTCTTCAAAGCCAGCTTCATCAAATACGAGACAAATGCCCAAACAATTCCCTCCTATACGCAAAAGTGGAAGAGGTAAACTTACGAAGGCTCAAAGGGAGCTGATTCCACGATCTTACGACTCTAACTACAAATGATCTTTCACAAATTGCAGACGAAACGAAAGTTACTGGGAAAGTAAACGAACGGACTTATTATTGGGAGCCTTTTGCAGTTTAGAATTTGAATAAAAATTGTTACAAAATCTACTTTTCATCAGCGAATCTGAAATAATAAATTTCCTAAATGGTTTGGGACACTGGATCTTTTTTTATAATCTGAGGAGAAGAAACATGTTTAGAAAACGTTGTAATTCGCCGTTTTTAGAGATACTGTAAAGAGGTCTTTCATATATTCCTTAAATAAAACTCAAGAAGCTCAAGAAAAAAATGCGATTTTAATCTGAAGAATATTTTGAATGAAGCAAATCTGCGTCACTAGCAAAAATTCAGCAAACACGACATTATTATAGATGTGCTATAACGGATCCGGCATCCCTTTTGTCATGTTTATATTTTCGAATATGCCATTGGAAAGGGAAATATTCAGCTAAAATTCTATATACAAAGCATTATTTTTGTAAGAATCACATTTTACTTAGAAAGGCTCTTGAATGATGAATATTAACTTCATTTCAATACATTAATTAATAACATTAAGTTTGCACAGCTTTAAAATGTTATTTGTGGTTAATCAAATATAGATTTTTTTAATTTAGTAATAAAAACTTTGATGGTGATATTCAATATATTTTTTAGCACATAAAATAGTCAAATCATATTACATATAATTTTGAATTTAAATAAAATGCAATAAAGTTTTTAAATAAAATAAAAAATACCTTGTACATTTCTTTTATTTACAAAAACCACTAAAAGCGGATTTACATATAACATGATTAAAATCCGAATCAGGGTTTAAGGTACGTTTAGATTTGCGAAATCCACTTGATCTCAAATGTCAATTCCATAGCATATACGTCAAATATAATCCACTTGATTTGTGAACAGGATTAACGGGAGTTATACGCAATGGAATTGACGTTTGAGATCGAATGAATTTAGTAATCCAAACGTAGCCTTCTAAATAAAGCTAAATTCACCATGATTTATCATACAAAATTTTTTAAATTTATTTGTCATACAGGGTTTATTTTAAATGCAACGAGGTTTTTGTACGAAAAAATTCAACTCTCACAATTTACCAAAATTTGCAACTGTTTTCACATGTTGCTTGTTTTAATATTCGACAGCTGCCAAATGCAAAAATGAAAAATCGAAAGTAAACAAAAATTGTTTATAGAAATTTTGTGTTTTTAGGTGATTTTTCTACTTTTCAAACGATCACAGCATTACAAAAACATTTCCATTGGTGTAATTTTTCTTTTCATTTTTAAATTGCAAACTAATATTTAAATTATTAATTTTTTGTGAGAAAGGTATGTGTAAATACTTAGGGTGTATTTCTGGATTTCGTTAATCTAGTCGATTTAATATCGTATATGTAAATGTACTATAATGGTCCGAATTGTGGTAATCATAATAAACTCATTGTTCAAATCGATATTATTTTAAATACAACTCTGATTTTCCATGACTTTTACTACAATTGCTGAAATGGAAACGCTTATTTATAAATAGCTGAGTAACAAATAATCGCAAAAAACGGAAAAAATAAAAAAAAATGAAAAATGTATAATGGATATTAAATAATAAACATGAATTTACATCCAATAAATTTTACAGAAACATACCTTTTTTATTGAAATTCTTTCGTATAAACAAAGCCTTATTTGTCCAATTACTTTGAAAACATTTTGCCAATTCGTAGATATATGTCATATGATATTTCAATTTAAATTATCCCATAAACACATAATTTAGAATTATTTATCGTTTATTTAACACCCATTCCCATCTCTGAGGATTCCTTCATTTCATGTCATCACTTCTCTGTGAATTGCATCAAACTCTTCTCCTGCTATCACACAATTTTGATCTATTATAACAGCTGTCAAGGTAGATATACAAGGTAGCCGCATGCTCGGTTGTTGTATCACACAAACAGATTTTTTTTTTACACAAATTCTATGTTAATAAAAGTGGTGCAGCTGTTTTTTCATTTATAATTTTGTTTTTTAATTTTTTGATTCAACATTACAACAACATTTTTGACATTTATTTGTCCAACAGCTGGCCCGATGCGGCTACCTTATTAAATATACCTTGACAGCTGTTTTTTGATAACACACTTCCATTTTTCGTTTGTTGACTTTCTGTGTGTTACCCTGTTAGTGCATTAGAATTCTACGTACATATATATGTGTGTGCGTGTGTTAAGTGGTTATTGTTGTGTTGTGGTTTTTTTGCCTGTAGGAGAATTTCTTTTTATTTTCTTGTGTGAGAAATCCAAATAGCTATACATTTCGTTTATTATCATCGTGTTGTGAAAATGTTAATAGAATAGCAGCACTAGAAAAACGAGAACAAAAAATAACAACAAAATTGATATCTTCTCACATAAGAAAAACAAACAGTAGCAGCAGCAGCAGCAAAACAAACATTCAATGAAATGACCTCAGATACAGCAGCAACACCGAATACAAATGAAATGACCAAATGTTGTAGTAGCACAGATTGTGGCTATATTGCGGAACTGAAAGCGTTTATACGTGATGTGACAAAAGATGCTGTGACGAATGGTGGTGGTGGCGTGGAGAACGGAGGTACAGGTAATGCTGCAAGCGGTGTAACCGGGAATGGCATTGGGGAATTGCGCACCCGAAACAATGCTGAAACATATCCGGTAAATGAAGCTGAAGAACTACAGGCAGAGGTCTGCATTCATGTATGGCAAAAATTAGCCAGCTGTCCGGAACACTTTCGCCTGGGCTTACACCAACTGATAAAAAATGAAATTTTAAGTGAATTAAATAATGTCAAAGTACGAGAGGACCTAATTGAACCGAACAAACAGCAGCAGCAGAATAATACCGAATTGGATGCTGGACAAATTAAATGTTTTGATTTACTAAAACTGCAGAAGTTCATTAGTCAACAATTGGATAGAATTTTATTACGCTTATCCGACAATTCTAAAGAGGATGATTTGAAAACATGTGGTGAGTGTCAGTGCTCAAAAAGGGATGCTGGCACGGTACAGCTACCGCCGTGTTCGGTTATGCAAATTAAAAATAAACCAAGAAAAATGGAAGATCGACATGTGTGCCTACCTAGATTTGGTGAGTTATATGGCCTTGAGGCGCAACACAGTTTCTTTGGTGTGTTCGACGGCCACTCAGGGGCACTGGCGGCAACATATGCTGCCAATCAAATGCCGTACTTGGTTTCAAAATACTTGAAGGAAATGAAAATCACAGCATGTCAAACGGAAACAGATTTCTATAGGGATGTCCTGGAGGCAAGCTTCTTAAAGGCCGACTCAAATTTTGCTCAAAAATCATTGGGTAGTGGCACCACAGCTGTTTGTGCCCTATTGAAATACACCAACAACAGCAATGTGACGGCAAATCATTTGTATGTGGCATGGGTAGGTGATTCCAGATGTTTACTAGTATCACCCACTGTCTCGTTGCAGTTGGTGAAGCCACATAAACCCGATTCAATGGATGAACGGAAACGCATCGAATCGATTGAAACTGGCGGTGCTGTGGTCTTTGTACATGGCCAGTGGCGTGTCAATGGCATCATTAATGTTTCCCGTTCGATTGGTGATCATTCGGTTAAGGCTGTTATTGCTGAACCGGATTTTGTTGATGTACCACTACAATCCTCGCATGATTTTCTAATATTGGGATCTGATGGTCTGTGGGATCATGTTACGGAAGCGGATATTGTCAAATGCACATATAAATCTTTGGCCGATGTGCAACAGCCATTGGAAGATATTCCCAAACAGTTAATAGAATTGGCCAAAAAGGGAGATTCTCAAGATAATATAACTGTTATGTTGGTGTTGCTGAAAGAACGCTCAAATATCATAGAAAATTATACAAAAAATTTTGTGGACAAAACCACATAAATGTATATTTAGAAAAAAAACGAACAAAATGAAGAAATAGAAAAAAAAACTGTAAAGAAAAAAATATCGTATCACAATCACTTCCAATACAAATTAGGGAATCCAAACACCAACACACACAATACAACAACAACACCAATTAAAACGCCAATCCAATATTGCTGTAAATTATTAGTTTTGTTTTATTTTAAATAATCATTACCGAGTATTATGTGTACGTACGTGTGAAATTATTATTTTATCTATTTGTTTTATATTGTAATGTTTTTATATATACCCTACACTTGAATATGTTTATAACAAGCCATCAAGCTTTCATTGTATAAAATATTTGTATTATTGTTATAATCTTATTCGAATGTATAAATGCAATATTTATTAGTATTCTAGTATTTGTAGTGTTACAACTTACAAAACCCCCACTATAACATATTTACTTAGTTCCATTTTAAACAAAAAAATCTGTTTTATAAATTTTATTCGAAATTCCCATAATTTTTACTACCATGGTTAACAACAACAAAAGCTTCAATAAAAATTATTGTGCCTACATAAATAAGTTTACAATAAAAAATGCAACAAACAAATCCAATATATACAACGACACCAATCCAAATTTTTGTAACTAAAACAAATGAAAAACAAAAAAATAATGTTCCACTCCTAACAATATGCTATTATATACACAAAAAACACAACATACATATTAAATAAATAACTTTTTTTAATACCAACAATCTATATATACATATATCAATGTACATTTATTAAAGTTCAAATATTTTTAAACAAAACAAGAACAAATACAGTTTTTTGGAATCGAAAAAAAAAAATGTTTTTCAATTTCATATTTGCCTTTAATCAAGGCGGAAATCTGTAGAATAGAACAACTGTTGAGGATATTAATTTTTTACCTACAAAGAGAATGAGAAGAGAGAGTGGAAGAGGAAGAAAGAGAGAAGGAGAGACAAGAGATGGTTATTTTAGCCATGTCAGATTTTTGATAAAGCCTAGGATCTGGTTGGGGTCTATTTTAGAGAAGATGGCTATATTATCAATTTCATATCTTCCAAACTGTTTATGTCTTCTGCCAATCAGCGTTTCCGATTTGGTTTACCATATCTCCATCGGTAATGAAAGAATTGGAAATTTTTGAAAGGGGTGTAATTCGGAAATGCATATGTAGGAACTATCAACATCAAAATAAAAGGTATTCGAATGGATTCATTTACGACACGTCTTCCATTGTAAGGTTGTGCGAGTACTCCCTCTTAGGTTTAGAAAAATTTGTAAAAAATCTCCAACATTTCAATGGAGGTGTGATGCGCGATATTTTAAATTCAGAGTCGCATTTTAGTTGGTCAAATACAAATTATTTATCTCCTATTGGAATTTTAAAGGAACAAAATTATTTGTATGATAGTCTTTATACATCGTCAACTCCCGGCATACACAGGGGTTAGTATGCTCTGTTTTGGTCCTTAGTTGTTATTTTTAGTTTGTAAGTTTAAAATTTGTATAGTAGTTTTAAGAACCCTTGTGTAGATGATTCTCTACAAAACATTTGTATATGCCGGGAGCAAACATATTGCAACACCATCAGATTACATTATCATAAATATTTTGTCATTGTCATGTTTGCAATTTGTTAATATACACAAAACATTAAAATTAAAATAATACATTATAGTTTTAAGTGGCCGATATATGTATAGAAATTTTATTGTTAATGCGTTGTATGTTTTTTTTATAAGTCTCAATAAACTTAACTTGTTTCTAGCTCTTCTTCTTCCTCACATAGACTACAGTTGTTGTTGTTGTAGCAGCCCTATTGCTTTTACCCATAGACTACAGTAATCCTCTCCGCTGGAGTCCCATTTCGAAGTCGGAGATCTAATCTTGCAATGACCTGTTATGATCCCCACAATGATTTTAATCTCTCTCTTATTATGTGTCAGCAGCAAAGAAGTTCTTTTGGGGAGAGAATTCAGGCCAGATAGCTTTTGAGACAAGCGGATTTTGCAAATGAAATACCCAATGGGTGGTTTCACGAATCTCTCAATCGGAAGATTGGACGACTGTGAGCCCCCTTGAGCAAGCTTGTCGGCTAGCTCGTTCCCTTCAATGTCACTATGTCCTGGAACCCAAAATAAGCTGACTATACGACGTATATCATTCAGAGCGGACTTGCAATCATGAACTGTTTTTGAGTTTAAAGTACACGACTTCATCGCCTTAAGGGCCACCTGACTATCGACATGTATAGTCACCGGTCCCTTGATTTTACTATCTCGACCGCCTTGATTGCAAGGATTTCTGCTTGAAAAACGCTACAAAGATTGATAAGTTTATATGAGTTGTTTGTGCCTAATTCCCTACAGTAAACGCCTGCACCAGTGCCTTCCTTCATCTTTGACCCGTCTGTAAAAAGACAACAGACTTGGCAGAGGTAAGGAGCCGCTAATCCGGGATTTCCGAAACTCTACTTTGATATCATTAAAGTCTCCGTGAGAGGGAATATAGTCACAAATATATAGAATGTGATGACATTTTGTGCGAATTTTTTCGCTAATAAATTGAAAGGCCGACCTGGTAATGAGTCGGCCTTATGACTTTCATAATAGAACACTCATAGCACATTCAATATGCTAAGTATTGAACCTTCCTGAAAATCCAACAATGATACTGCAATCTATTTTTATATAGGTATATATTTGTATTCTTAAAAATATTTTTGTATTGAAAAAAGTTAATATTTTAACAATAATAGTTTTTAGTTGTAAAGCTAAAAAAACAAAAAATACGAACACCATTCGTATTGATCTTATTGAGCACCTGGTGGCGGTGGATGATGTCCATCAAAATTACCCATTGTCGGTGGACGCATATTAAAGACACCCGGCACCATTTGTTGTGGTTGCTGAGGAACAGGTCCAGATGGATTATTTATAACCGGTCTCATGTGAGGATGTGGAGGTGGAGCATGATAACCCATAGGAGGCATAGGATACATGGGTTGTGGATAATTCTGTTGTTGTACGGGTGGCATTTGTGGATAACCCTGGTGGTGGCCATAACCATAATTTGGTGGTGGTACCGGATATTGTTGTGGATAATAATTTGAATGCCAAGAACTGGGATTGTGATTGCTGGGGCGATTCATTTGTTGTTGATGGTGTTGTTGATACGGCGACTGATGACGAGGTGGACGATTATAAGAGTTTTGATTATTCGACGACCCTTGTCCAGGCCGGCCGCCTCTTTGGTTTTGATTTCTTTGATGTCTGGAAGCTTTGGGTCTATTCGCTGTAGCATCATTTCCTCCATCACCTTCTTCTGTATCGCCTGTGCGAGCTTTCTTCTCAGGATCATCACACTCTGTGGGTTTATTACGATTACGAAGCTGCTTTTTGGCCAGCTGTTCTTGTTCATCGTCCGAATAGTCCAGAAATCTTGGTGGTGGTTCTATATCGTTTTCCCATGATGCATCAGATCCCTTCATATTCATTAAACTTGATAAGATTATGAATTGTGTGTACTGTGTCTTGGGAGCCACATAAACTGTATCACCAACTTTGATGTTTTTCTCATTGATATCCTTGTTTGTATTGAAACGTACACAATACAAGGGATCGGCCACCTGGCCCAATACATCAAACACTTCGCCCAATACACGTTGTCCTTTGTCCAAAAATAACACAGTATCCAAATCCAAGAGTACAGAATTCGGCAAAGCACTAACCAATACCAATTGATCAACAATTGAGTGTATCTTTCCCAATTCTATGCATTCATCTTCGGGTACGGTAATGTGTAATTCGTGTATGGGTGGCAAATCCTCCAACAGCAATTCTCCCTTAGCTTTTATTTTTTGTTTTGGTTTTCTTCTTTCGCCTTTGCCGTTTTCATCATCCTCATCTTCGTCGTCATCCTCATCGACTTCCATACGTTTTTCAATTTTCTTACGTAAATTATCTAAACATTCTACATCGGAATCACTGCTGCTGGAATCTGAATCACTATCAGAATCAATTTCAACAACTTTATTGCGATAGTCCTGATTTGCCGGCAGGGGGACTTCTACAACAGATTCTGAATCGGAGTCTTCATTACCAGAGGCATATTGAGCTAGCAGGCTTAAACCCGTGGTAGATACTGTAGCAGAATTTGCTTCCAAATGTTTAGTTTCTGTTGATTGTAAAGCGCCATCCTCCACATGTTCATTGATAGTTTCATTGGTGCTTGGAGTGGAAGAATTTATATCTTCATCAGTTTTGCATGTGGAATTTTCTGTGGAATCTTGCACTGTATCCTCTTCCATGTTTTCAGGTTGGATATCCACATTTTCTTCTTTTTTGTCACCTGTGTCTTGAGGAACTACTTCATTTTCACGTGTTTCAGTAGTATCATTGGCATCACCACATGGCACAACCGATTCATCATTTGTTTGAGCATCAGACATATGCTCTGACCCAGTCTCACTTTGATTTGTACCTGTTGCCAATACTTCTACACTAAGTATTGTTACTGGATCATTATTTTTCTTGTCGTTTTCATTGACTAATTCTTCTACATCCTTGGTTTCTGTTTCAGGTTTTTCTTCATCTGCTAATTGTAAAAAATGAATATAAAACCTATTTGGATGGTAGGTGTTTTATATTTAATATTACCTTGCTGGTGCTTCCCAGTATCCACCTCTGTGGATTTGTCGTATTTTTCAGAATCCTCCATAATTAATTAAACTGGCAATCGGAATGGGATCGTCGTGTTCAATTGATACCGTTGTTTTCAAACAAATAAAATAAAACGTGCTTGATGCCTGTCTTAAAATAAAAACGTTCCATCTGCTACAAATTGGGGAGAAGAAAAAATGGCCGATAAAGAAATAACTCAAATGGAAAATGGAAAACTTATGCTATGTACAGACGGTCGTTGTATTTATTATTTAAAAAATGAGTTTGTCGATAGGTTCATTTTGATTAATTGGTCGTTTGTTGTATATATTTATTCAAAAAGCGGTCAATAAAGAAATAAAGGAGTTCCTTTTGATCAAGAGAAAACATCAAATTCATCCGGAAGTTCTCCAAGAACTATCCGAATGATATTGCGAGGGACTTCTTGATTGAAAGGATTCCTAGACCTAGTGCGAAGACCACCACGGTAGTCCCTTCAAAGAAGGAGAAAACTGTCGGAGGTCCCAGTACACTAAGGAAGCTGGAGGCTGAGACGTCTAAGCCCTCAATACCCGCCAAGGGTATCCACGAAGACTATCGAAGTCATCCCGAAGGAGAGCCCGTGAAAAGGCCTCGAGGAATTCGACATCTGGAGGACCTCTTCCTATCCGACGATGTTGATCGACGGAACCTTCGGTTTGCCAGACCACCTAATACAAAGGGGCCAAGGTTGTTAATTGTCGAACTAAAGCGGTGTACACACTATCATTTTTGACTGTCAACTTTTTTATCGATTACTGACTGTCCAACAACCATAAATATTTTTGTGGTTGCCTGATGAATGACAAACATGTGAGGCCACACTATCAAACAAGCAAAATTTGGGCAAGAGTGCCATTCAAAAATGATAGTGTATACACCGCATAAGAGGACTGCGCAATTCCTTAAGAAGACAATTAACAGCTGCGACCCTCTTTGGGAAGGTAGCAGACTGGCAGCCGTAGCGGTCCAAGAGATATCAAACGGAATGGTAACCCCTGTGTGGATCCCACCACCTTTGAAGAGGCTGGAGAACACATGGCCTTCAGATGAAGAGGTGGAGTGTTCTCGCCTCATTTGCAAGGAACGGCACTGTAGTCGCCAAGTTCGCTACTGATTCTGCTGTCGAGCAATATTTGAGGAAGATGGTTTAAGCAGAAGGAGAAGTCCACGAATTAGATGGAAAGATGAAGTAAAAGACAACATCTTGGAACGTGGTCTTTCAAATTGGAGGAGATGCGCACAAGACCGACGCGCTTGAAAAAAGTTTTTTTAATCTCGGCTTATGGAACAACCGTTCTGTAACAAGCCAGCTAAGTAAGTAATGCGCCTTAATATTATTACAAACAGTAGCCAAATGTTGTCACGCTGTTTAATCACGAGCGCCATCTATTGTTATTCGGTAATGCTTATTACTTCATAAAGTAAGTTAAAGTGAATACTTTTAGGCGGTAAAAACCTACATAAAGTTTGCAAGTTAATCGAAATCCGTCTTATTGTATTCAAATCTAATTGAAGATTAACAATGCTATTTGATCAATCGTATAGTCACAATTAGCGGTTTTGGTTATGTTCCTTTATATATCACAAACTAATTGTTATTCAAACATTACCTTCTCTGTGCACTTCGCCAAAATATGAACAATCACAGTATCAGACCTTTTATTTAGAAAATTTAAATTGTTTACATTTTTTTCTTTTCTATCATTTATTTTCTTTTGAGAATTTTACAAAATCATTGTTATTATTTTTTGTTATGTTTGTATAAAAACTATTATTTCCAGAGGCAGCGGTTATAATTTCTTTTTTACTTAATATTTTCCTCAATTCATCTATGCACAGCTGTATTCAACCATTAACTGGAAGACTTGTATTGGCAGCATTCGCTGCCTTCTGTTCTTCTTTATAGCCGGTCTGTGATAAATGCTTAACAATATCAACCCAATTCCAACCGCGTGGACGTTCACCTTTATTATCCGTTCGTTCCCATTGTCGACGTTTTTGTGCTTTGGTTAGTTGTTCCTTCTTCACCTCCTTCTTTTGTGTGTCGGTGGTATTGTCGGATATTTGAATTGCACTTACGCCCACCTTATTCAGGTCAATGGATTGTGTGGCCACATGTTCGGGCTGTTCACTTGTCAGTTCGTCTAAACGTTCTTTGAGGCACTCGAATAATGTATAGGTCATACCACAGCCCAGCCATTGTTCGCCTTCTTCTTTGAGGGCACTTTGTATTTTTTGTTTGACAGCTGGAACTCTAAAATGGGAACATAACTACAGCGCCTTTTAAAAATTAATTTCCTTAGTTTACTTACAAATTCCGATTATAGAAGGTATCCATATTAATGGTTGGCAGTTCATTTGGATAATTTTCACCCCATTTTATTTCCACTAGAAATGACCTGAAGTTGTCATCTTCACCGTACTTGTATTGAAATGTGGTTGGGTCGATTTCTTTAAATGCCTCATCGCCTTCGTAAATTGATTGCAGGGCTTCCCGCTCATCGGTTTGCATCTCTAATGTTTCCGACATTTTTCCAATTTCATGCAATTAACTATTTTTGCGAATAAATTTTGAGTTACATCAAACAATTGTTTTCATTTTTTTATTTTGACACATGCACAGTAGGGTTGTGTAGTTCGGTAACGTGATAGTTCATAGGAACTATTCAGAGAATAGTACGATTGGAACTAGAACCCATTGGAGTTGCTTAGTTCGTGGACGAACTATTTCAATTGTCCGCTGTCCGTTCAAATCGCCGGCTATAGGGATTAGTTAATATTGTGGCACAATATATAGGTACTCTATTTAACTTAGCTGAATATCCGATTAACTTGAATCCAACGTGCAATGTTGCCAACCATGAGAAATATAACTAGATACGATTTGACAGATGAATGTTGTCAAAAGACTTACTTTACTTAGCTGGCTTGTGACAGAACGGTTGTTCCATAAGCCAAGCTTAAAAAAGATTTCCAAACGCGTCAGTCTTGTGCGCATCTCATCCAATTTGAAAGACCATGTTCCGAGATATTGTCTTCTACTTGATCTTTCCATCAGATTCGAGACCTTCCTCTTCTGCGTGAACCATCACTTCGCTTTTATATGCCTTTTTTAGTGGGGGAATCCTTATCTACTATCACAACATGACCTAGGCAACGTAGTCACTGCAGTACGATGCTTCTAACTATGTCGATGTCCGAGAAGAGTTGGTACTCTCCAACACTCCAAGAACTGCCTCATCTGCTTGCGCAAGTAGCCATGCTTCAGATCCATACAACAGCACGGGTAATATCAGCGTCTTGTAGAGTGTGAGTTTGGTCTTGCGAGAGGTGACCTTGCACTTGAATTGCTTACTCAGACCATAGTAGCATCTCTTGGCAAACATTATTCTCCTCCGGATTTCAAAGTTGATGTTATTAGTTTTGTTTATGGCGGGACCGAGGTATATAGAATCTCTCACTACCTCGAAGCGGTAATTTTCAAGTTCCATAGTTGGTCCCAGTCTACTGGACGTCTTGCTCGTAGATACCATTAGCTTGGTCTTCTCGCCATTTACTGCCAGTTCCACTTTGGCAAACTGTTTCTCAATTCGTTCAAATGTGCTGTCGTCGGCGTAGGCGAGTAATATATTCTGTTTGGCGTGTAGAGTGCCATTTCTGTTCACATTTGTATCTCGTAGGATCTTTTCCAGCAGGATTTTAACAGGTCACACGACAAACTGTCAGGTCTGAAGTCGCATTGGTATGGTCCAATAATTTCATTGACCATTGACTTCAGACGTTCACACAGTACGATGTATAGCACTTTATATGCGATGGGAAGGATACTTATTCCTCTATTGTCTTGTCTCCTTTTTTGTGCACGGGACACATGCTGAGGTTCCATTCATTGGGGGTTTGGTATTCTTTTTCGTTGCTTTTTCATAGTAGGAGGGGTTTTCCGAGTGTGGGCAACTAACCCGACGCCTCAACCCATTTTTTTAAAGTTGTTATGGGTGAACTAGCAGCACATATCAGCTCACAATTTCAACGGGTGATGAAAATAGCTAACCCAGGTGACACCGCGGGCAGGTCAGTGCCACAATTGAGATGAAAGTGGGACCAAGAAAAGCCTGGGCTTCGCCATGTTAAAGCCAATCAGAGCATTTGCTGGTATCTATCATCCCCTACCTCAACCTATTACCATCATCCTTAACCTTTTCCAAAATATATTATTATTAAACATATTAAAAACCAGTAAGGAAAGCAGTAAAGTCGGACGGGGCCGACTATATGATACCCTTCACCACTTTCGGTATATCCAACAGATGAAACCTAAAAGACGTCGAATTTTTAAAGGACCAGGGACAAAATTATGAAAATCTATTATAAGCGTATATATATATATATATATATATCGGACGATATATATGGAGCTATATCTAAATCTGACCGATTTTCACGAAACTAAACACACATTCATTAATTCATTACGCAATGCCAAATTTCGTGCAAATCGAAAGATATATAGAGACTTTGGTGCACCATTTACCTTAAATCGGACGAAACTATATATGGGAGCTATATCTAAAGTTTTCTAAACTTGGCACACATCATTCTGACCTAATTCAGTACTCTGTGCCAAATTTCATGCAAATCGAATTTTATATGGTGCCCCATTTACCTTAAATCGGACGAAACTATATATGGGAGCTATATCTACATCTGAACCGATTTTCTCGAAACTTGACACACATCATTCTGGACCTCAGTCTGTACTCTGTGCCAAATTTCATGCAAATCGAAAGATATACAGGGACTTTGGTGCCCCGTTTACCTTAAATCGGACGAAACTATATATGGGAGCTATATCTAAATCTGAACCGATTTTCTCGAAACTTGACACACATCATTCTGAACCTAATTCAGTACTCTCTGCCAAATTTCATGCAAATCGAAAGATATAGAGGGACTTTGGTGCCCCATTTACCTTAAATCGGACGAAACTATATATGGGAGCTATATCTAAATCTGAACCGATTTTCTCGAAACTTGGCACACATCATTTTAGCCTTAATTCAGTACTCTGTGCCAAATTTCATGCCAATCGAAAGATATAGAGGGACTTTGGTGCCCCATTTACCTTAAATCGGAGGAAACTATGTATGGGAGCTATATCTAAATCTGAACCGATTTTCCCGAAACTTGACACACATCATTCTGGACCTCAGTCAGTACTCTGTGCCAAATTTCATGCAAATCGAAAGATATAGAGGGACTTTGGTGCCACATTTACCTTAAATCGGCCGAAACTATATATGGGAGCTATATCTAAATCTGAACCGATTTTCTCGAAACTTGGCACACATCATTCTTGACCTAATTCAGTACTCTGTGCCAAATTTCATGCAAATCGAAAGATACAGAGGGACTTTGGTGCCACATTTACCTTAAATCGGACGAAACTATATATGGGAGCTATATCTAAATCTGATCCGATTTTCTCGAAATTTGGCACACATCATTTTAGACTTAATTCAGTACGTTGTACCGAAATTCGTGCAAATCGGATGATTTTCAGGGACTAAAGTCCTCAAATCGGACAAAAATATATATGGGAGCTATATCTAAATCTGAACCGATTTTTCCCAATTTCAATAGGGTTCGTCCTTGGGCCAAATAAATGAGCTGTGCCAAATTTCAGCCAAATCGGATTATAAATGCGACCTGCACTTTGTTTACAATTTAACATCAACAGACGGACGGACGGACGGACATGCATAAATCGACTCAGAAAGTGATTCTATGCATATTCTCAAAAGGAACCATGGGTCTATCTCGATTCCTTTTGCCTGTTACAAACATATGCACAAAGACATAATACCCTGTACCACAGTGTGGTGAAGGGTATAATTACATACAATTTTCAATTGTTCACCTTTATACAAAAACTGATATTTACTTACACACACATATATGTGTTAATATATTTATAATATCGAAAACAAATAGAATAAGTCTCGCTTTAAATCGAAACGAAACAGATCAGTTATTTGGAAACATTTGTCGGATGACGTTGTTGTATTAACGAAATTCGCGAAATATTTTAAAGTGCTATTTTATTTTGATTTTTTTTCGAAACAATTTTAATGCCTAGACTTAATTGAAATTCCATAATGGGAAATACACATACCACTTACGATATTAACAGTAAAATTGTTAAATCGAATATATGTGCGGATTGTTGGAAAACTTGTTTCCCTTGTTGTTCAAATAGGAATAATACTGCATACGGCGAAACAGCAATAAGTCTTAGAAAAGAAATACTAGTTGAACATACTAATGTTGATGGAACAGGTATGTTTGTAAGCATGCAAAATAAATAACTCAATCGATAAGTTATTAGTAAATGAAACACCCACATCCATAGATCTATGTGTACGGTTCAGTAGGTGTATCGAATTTAATACATTTCTTGTTATGCTCAAAATCATAGGAAGGAACACATTAAAAAACGTTGAAAAGTGCATCGGCTTAGCTGGATAAACCTTTGCTGCATTTATGTCGAAAGAATTTAAGCGACAAATATTGATTTGCAATATAGAACCTGTAATTTAATAACGGTAATAACGGTTTTTATTATCAAATTAATTAAAATTAAAAATTGTTTTTCAAGAATCTAGATATCATACATATGATCTTGGATCCAGTATCTTTTTGATTTTATCTTTCAACATAATAATTTTGAAATTCCATTATTTCTGATAACAATGATATCCAAATTTGTATTTAGTCTTCTATCACACCTATATCAATAATATCTATATACAAATAAACAAAATGTTTATTTGTTAAACATAATTTATTTTAAAATTCATATAAAAATACCAATGAACACCTGTTTTAATAATTGTTTCAAAAAAATATTCAAGGCTGTAGATTAATCACAATATAAACAATTTCATTTCTAGGGTATTCTATTTTTTATAAATATGTATAAAAATATATACAGTCGAGTACGCTTATAACGAACATTCTGTATAGCGAACACATTTCCTGGTCCCGAAGTTTTAAGACAGATTTTTCATACAAATCATTACTCTTATAGCGAACAACGGATATTACGAACGTTTTTTATAACGAACTATTACTTCGGTCCCAACGTACAATATTCATTTATTTTAATTCGGTTATAACGAAAATGTTACAAATATACATAATGCTTAACGATGACAATCCTGACCAAAATTTAATTTATGCCCTAACATTGAAAGAAAAAGGTAAGCAGCTTAATTATTGCCAAAAATTATACCAAAACTGCCAATTTCGGAACTGATTATATTTTGTCCTGCTTTTGCTTACCTTGGATATAACGAACTAATTTGCTCGGTCCCTATTATTTCGCCATAACCGTACTTTACTCTATTAATAATTTTAATCCCTTTTTGTTTTTTGTCTAATATGTGGGTAAGTAGAACATTACTGGGGAATGGCCCCCAATTGACATTTTAACGAATTTAATTTTTATTTTGAAACAATTTTTTTATTTGAATTTTGCCTTATAAGGGCAGTGTTCATTTGAAAATAATTTTAAGTGAGCTATTTATACTCTTTGGAGTCGAGATTAATTATCGAAGAACCTACGTACCCCACCATTATGCGACGCGTATTGGGCTATGTGGCTTTACAGAGGTCGCATGTTGATAACTTGTATTTATTTCGCCCTGATGCGAACTTTGCATATGCGAATTAAATTCAAATTTGTCAAGGTTCGACATTTGTCTTCATTCTAGAAACAGTTCTTTTCAAAGCAGATATTTTTTGTAGCGATTGATAATTTATCCACAACACCTACAATTGCTCCGATGGTATACACATGGTTTTGCGCAACCTTTTAGAAAGTGTGTTGATGGCTCAGAACGTTAAGTGGTCTGACAACATTTGTGTTGCTCTAAGGACCTAAGTTCGAACCCTAGCTGTGTTCAGCTGAATTAATTTTTGTTATTTGAATTTTTTCCTTGTAAGGGCAGTGATCATTTGAATTAAATTTTAAGTGAGTTATTTATACTCTTTCGAGTCGAGCTTAATAATCTAAGTTTTACAATGATAAGAAAATCCAGGAGAAGAACCTACGTACCCACGATTATGCGACGCGTTTCCCCGTTGGTTAAGCGGCTCATCAGGCATATTGGAACGAATATTATTTATATGTTGATATGTTTTTATTTTGCAACAATTTTATATTTTTTTATTTATTTTATATTTTTTTATATGTTACCACTCGCAATGTTCGACCCATTATGTCCATATCGTCGATTAAGCTGTTCGGAGTGCCAATTCTGTTCAAATTTGCATCTGGTATGACATTTTCCAGCAGGATGTTAAAATGGTCACACGACAAATTGTCACCTTGTCTAAATCCTCTTTCGGTATTAAAGGGCTCCGAGAGGTCCCTTCCAACTTTAAATGCTGATCTTGTGCCAGTTAAAGTTATCCTGCATAACCGTATTAATTTTGCAGAAGTGCCGAACGCAGACATAGCTTTAAACACTTCTGAACGGATGGGGCTATCGAATGCGGCTTTGTAGCCGACAAATAGGTGGAATGTATTGGTGTGTGTTTCAAGAGTCTTTTCCAGGATTTGGCGCAGAGTGAAAATCTGGTCAATGGGGGATTTGCCAGGTCTGAAGCCGCATTGATATGGTCCAATAATGTCATTGATCATTGGCTTCAGTCGTTCACACAGCATGCTTGATAACACTTTATATGCCATAGGAAGGAGACTTATTCCTCAATAGTTAGCACATATCGTGTTGTCTCCTTTGCGTGGGACACAGGATGCTGAGGTTACAATCATTCTTTTAGCCAAATTGTACTAATCAGCTGGTGCATGTTCCTGACCTGCATCTGACCATCGATCTTGAATAGTGCGGTGGGTTTTTCATCGGCAGCTTCTGTTTTATTGTTCTTCAGCCGATTAATTGCTACTCGAACCTCATCTTGGTTAGGTGGTATACAGTCTATACCATCATCTCTTAGTGGTTCTGAGGTATCTTCTTCACCGCTACTATTTGATACCAGAAGCTTTGTAAAATGTTCCTTCCAGATCCTCGACACGCTGTCTGTATCTGTCACAAGGTTTCCTTCTGCATCCCTACAAGCGGATGTTCCCGCACCAAAGCCGTCGTTTTTGTTTTTTTACTTGTTGGTAAAATATCAGGACTTCATTCTGACTCCTGAACATCTCGATTTGCTCACGTTTTTCTTATTCTTTCTTCTTTTTTCTGTATATACGTTTCTCCTTTTCCCCCGATAATTCTCTTTAGCTTTACGTGTTGCTACTGTCTACAGTATTGCCCTATCCGCTCCGATGTTCGTATTAGTAGCATTACGACACAAAATATATTACAGTCAATTAATTTGAAAAATATGTCCAATGTATAATTATTACAAGGTAGGGCATAGCAGTATTTCTCTGAGTGGCTGAAAAACATTGTGGCGTTCGAAAGCCATTTAAGTATAATGTAAAAACAATATGTCAATTTAAAAAAATAATTGAGCAAAAAGTAGTATTAGTCTACACTTAATATTCCGTACAAGTAAAATAAAATCGTTGGACAATCATAATTTAATAGTAGGGGCACGGAAGTAACAAAACATAAATATAGCTATAAAAAGTAAATTGTCAAGGTCTTCAGTGGAAAGTTTCGACAATCTTCAATCGATTACCCAAGTACCGATTATCTAAAGGAGTTTGGATACGATATGTGCTTTTAATTGTAAACTCGTGCCATTTTTGTACAAATATACATAAAAAAATATTCCTTTTTAACAATTTTACAAAAAATCCAGCGGTCCAGATATTTGATTTATGTATGCCAGATATTTTTGTAAAATTTTGATCATTGTTATGCAAAATTTCATTTCTATTTCTACATGAAATTTCTCATATATAAAAAAAACCCATTGTGATAAAAATAGACACAATAAGCAAGCACACTTTTTCTAAACAATTCAAGTTAACTACGTAACGTAAATTAATCTGGAATAGTTGAACATGACGCCATCATCACTTTTACTCGTTCATTCAGTAATGAAATGCTGCACACTCGAACAGACGCGCACACATAGGAAGTGTTAATGGGGCTGGATATTCATGTGCATCCATTCATTCACTCATTGATACGTTGACACTGACATCGTCATCGATCGATCATTAATTCAAAAAAACCAAATGAGAGATGGTGGTGGTGGTTGACGGAATTTTCAATGTGGACAACTCATTTCTCGAAAACAAACCAAATATGCATTTAAATTAATAGTTTGCATGTTATTATTTTGATCAAATTACTCGGCGGATTGTAGGTGGTGGTGGTGGTAACAACAGTCGCATTTTAACTCCCACAACGGCTGGCAGCAAATGTTGCGATCGATTGCTCGTAATCTCTCAGTTGTTCAAATCAACAATTTGCATCAGTTTGTTTTGAAAATATAACACAAAAAAATACAAACAACTATGAGAGCATCCATATTTGGAATGTATCTCCCTTTTGGCGCCCAATGTTGCTAGTGTTTTTGATTGTGTTTTTAGTGAGCAGCTATCAGTGATGTCAATAGCAGTGAAAATTATTTAAATAAATACATTAACATCGCTTTATTATTAAAGTCTACAAATAATGGCGCCCAATTAATTAGAGGGAGCCAAAGAAAAGTATGAATATATGAGGGTTTAATATGGGTTTCACACCATTATAACCCACATCTGATCCAGAGGGTCAACAATTCTGCTTTTCAATTTGTTTCTTTAAGGAAAATCTGCGGAATTACTTCACGGACAATTCGAAATTTTCCAGTTATTGATCAATCTAATAGCACAAATAACTCGGCAATAATAGAACCAGGCTTTAACCAAAACTTCATTAGTGCTTAATCCTTAAAAATTCCCAAAAGGCCGAAACCACTAAGCAAGAAATAAATGAACCACTGGACAACTAAGTTAGCTTCATGTTACGACTCATCGAAAACCGTCGGTAATAGTTAACCCCCAGAAGATCTGAAAAAAATCGACATATTTGTTCCATAAACCGAGCTTAAAAAAAAACATTTCCAGGCGCGCCGGCCTTGTGCACAACTCATCCAATTTGAAAGACCATGTTTCGAAATATTCTCTTCCACTTGATCTTTCCATCTAATTTATGGCCTTCACATTCTACGTGAACCGTCAGTAGGCTTGCTTTTATATGCCTTTTGAGCTGGGGCATCCCCATCCATTCTCACAATATCACCTAGCCAATGTAGTCTCTGCAGCTCGATACTTCTCACAGTGCAGATGTCCGAGAATAGAATATACAGCTCATGGTTCATTCGTCAGCGATATTCACCGTCGACGTAGATCGGCCCATAGATCTTTTGGAGAATTTTTCTCTCAAACACTTCAAGAACTGCCTCATCTGCTTGCGCAAGTACCCATCCTTCAGTTCCATCCATATAAAAGCACGGGTAGTATCAGCGTCTTGTAGAGTGTGAATTTGGTCTGGCGAGAGGTGGTCTTGTTTCTAAAGTGCTTACTCAGGCCGTACTAGAATTTGTTTGCAAACACTATCCTTCTCCGAATTTCAACATTGATGTCATTAGTTGTATTTATGGCGGTAACAAGGTATATAAAATCTTTAACTACCTTGAATGTGTCGTTCTCCAGTTCCACAGTTTGTCCGAGTCTGCTAGACGTCTTGCGCGTTGATACCATCAGCTTGGTTTTCTCGCCATTTACTGCCAGACCCACTTTGGCAGACTCCTTCTCCTTCGCAATGTTTGACCTATTATGTCGATGTCGTCGGCGTAGGCGAGTAAAATATACTGTTTGGTATACAGAGTGCCATTCCTGTTCACATTTACATCTCGTATGACCTTTTCCAGCAGGATGTTAAAAAGGTCACATGACAAACTGTCACCTTGTCTTAATCCTCCCTCCGTATTGAAGGGCGCTGAGAGGTCTTTTCCGACTGGTAGACTTGCCAGGTCTGAAGCCGTATTAGTATGGTCCTATAATGTTATTGACTTCAGTCGTTTACACAAAACGTTGGATAGCACTTTATATGCAATGGGAAGGAGGCCTATTCTTTTTTGTGCACAGGATGCTGATGTTCCAATCATTGAGTATGCATTCCTCAAGCCAAGTTGTACTAATTAGCTCCTCTCTCCTGATAATTCTCCATCGCATTAGGTGTTGATACTGTATGCAGGGTTGTCCTATATGCTGCGTTTTCAATGGTGGATGGTG